CACAAGCTGACCAACGGCTCCAAGGTCGTGCTCAAGTCCGCCAAGAAGGACGACTCGAATCTGGCCCGCGAGATCCACCACCATCGCCAGTTTGTCCACCCACACATTGCGCGCCTGTACGAGGTCATTGTCACCGAGTCCATGGTCTGGCTCGTGCTGGAGTACTGCCAGGGCGACGAGCTCTACAACTACCTCCTGAAACACGGCAAGCTGCCGGTCGACAAGGTGCAGCGCATCTTCACGCAGCTCGTGGGCGCCGTGTCCTACGTGCACCTGCAGTCGTGCGTGCACCGCGATCTCAAGCTGGAAAACATCTTGCTGGACAAGCACGAGAACGTCAAGCTCGTCGACTTTGGCTTCACGCGCGAGTACGAGGGAAAGGCCAACTACCTGCAGACCTTTTGCGGCACCATTTGCTACTCGGCGCCCGAGATGCTAAAGGGTGAAAAGTACGCCGGCGAAAAGGTCGACGTCTGGAGCCTCGGTGTCATCCTCTATGCGCTGCTCTGTGGCGAGCTGCCCTTTGACGACGACGACGACGATGTCACGCGCCGCACCATCCTCGTCGACGAGCCCCAGTACCCCGACCACGTCCCACCGGACGCCCTCTCTCTCCTCAAGGCGATGCTCTCGAAGCGACCCCTCCTCCGCCCGACCCTGCCCGACATCCTCGCGCACCCCTTCCTCGCCGACCACGCCGCCCAGCAGCAGACCATCCTCGACGTGCCACAGCCGTCGCCCTTTACCACACCCGTCGAGAAGGAGTCGCTGCAGCGCATGCGCAGCGCCGGCGTCGACATTGACACTGTCATTGAGAGCGTGCTCGCCCAGCGCTGCGACGCTCTCGCCGGCTGGTGGACCCTGCTCATCGAAAAGGAGCAGCGCAAGCTGGTCCGCCGCGAGCGGAAGCGCAAAGAAAAGGAGCTCGAGCACCGCAACTCGCGGCGCCTGTCCACGACGTCCAGCCGCCTCGAGCGGCTCGCCACTGTCGAAGAAGCCGGGTCGAGCTACGTCAAACTCAGCGACCCGCCCACCCCCAAGTCGTCGAGGGGCCGTTCACAGCGCCGTAGTTGGCACCATGACAGCTTGCGCATCGACGACTTCCCGGGCCTGTCGGAGCTTGGCCGCGTCAACGAAGCTCTGAAAGCCAACAGCGCCGGTGTCGCTGCCGCCTCGGCGACCAACGGCAACTTTAGCAGCAACCGGAACAGCCGCAACAGCCGCCCAAGCGGCGAGCACCGGCCACCACCCGTCGACAAGGACTCGCTGCGCTCCGCCAGCTCGTCCCGCCAGCGCCGGCCAATCCCACCGCCCAAGGAAGGCGTCCTGCGGAGTGCCCGGTCCAGGGGGTCGACGCTGCACCTTGTCACAACAAGCGACGCACTGGCCGCCGCAGGGGCCGCGGGCGTCAATGGCGTCAATGGTGTGCACATTGCCAACGGCGCGTCCGGCGCGGGCGGTGCTAGTGGTGGCAGCAACGGCGCATCGGGCTTGCACAGCAACCAAAAGGTGCGCAAGAAGACGTCCCAGGTAATCATCACCCACTGGAAGAACATGACGCACTGGATCGCCGAGAACACGCGCCGCACCAAGGGTGCTGGCAAGCGTGGCGGCAGCCACTCGACTCCGAACCTGCTTCCGAAACCATTGAGCAGGAGCGGCGGTGGCGGCGGTACCGGGAGCAGCAAAGACGGCGGTGGAAGCCGCGGAAAGGACTCCAAAGCGAGCAGCCCACGCCCTCAAACAAGCAAATACCCGGCCTCCGGATCGGCCGGTGCTGGTGGAAGTAGCACTGGCGGCCTCGGCATTGGTCTCGGCGGCTCTAACACGGCCAGCCTACCCAAGGGCGTTGTCGCCAATGGATTCGCCAAAGCAGCCGGCCAGCCTACGGCCGCTGGCCCCAGCAGTGCCAGTGCTGTGACAGGCGGTGCTTCCGGCGGCGGTGCTTCCGGCGGCGGTGCTTTCCGGCTCGACGACCTGGGAACGCCCGCAAGCATGAGTGGTGGTGGTGGTGGTGGTGGTGGTGGTGGAGCAGTCACCAGCGGCAGCAGCACTGCAAATAGCCCACTGTCGCCCAGCCTGTCCGCCACCACGCCATCCAACACGAACTACCAGCAATTCTACTACCAGGTGCATCCGCAACAGCAACCTCAACAAGGGCAAGCACAACAGCAGCAGCAGCCTGCCTCCGCTCCTCGACTACAATCAACCAATTCTTATAAGCGCCAGTCACTCTCTCCCTCGCCCCTAACACCGCGATCGGCCGTTCGCCGCTCCTCTGCGGGCCATCACGGCCTCCGTGGCCGCAAATCGACTTCCTCTTCCGTCTCGTCCATCCGCTCCATCCACCAACACCAACATCATCACTCCCACTCCAAGGCATCGTCCACCAGCTCCAACGGCTCCGTCTCCACTGCCACGGGCGCCGGCGCCGGCAGCAGTGTCAGCGCCGTCGGCCGCTCACCCCACCACTCCGTCAAGGTGCTTCCCGCCACGCCCACCACAACCTCGTTCCCTAGCAACCTGCGACTTGTCCGCGGATCTGTTTTTACGGCATCGTCGTCGGCGTCTGCTGCTCATGCTTTCAACGAAGGTATGCCACTCAGCCGGGCACCCGGATCGCCCAACCCTTTTGGTAGCCACTACCAGGCCGGCGGCCTGCACGGTGGCGGCGGCGGCGGAAGTGGCAGTCTCGGTCCCGCCTTTGTGGGCAGCAGCACGCCTGTCATGTTTGCCAAGCGCAAGCGCAACATCTTCAAGGGGCCGATGTTGTCGTTTGGCAACAGCAGCGGCGGGGCCGGAACCGGCGCCAGCGGTCGCAGCGCCAGCGGAGGTTCGGGTGCCAAGCACTCCCACTCCCGCAGCGCGTCCGCCAGCGGACTCGGCCGGCGATCCGGCGAAATTACCATTGAAGAAGAGGACGAGGAGGAAGAAGAAGAGATGGAAGACATGGAAGAGGAGGGAGAAGACATTGACGACGACGACGATGCGGCAGCCAACGGGCACGCCGCCATCAGCCGGTTCCTAATGGACGGTGGCGATGCTGCGGGTGGGCTTGACGACGTCGAAGAAGTCGACCAGTTCAGCCCCATCATCCGACGCCCCGGCGAGTACATTGAGGAGATTTACGAGGACGCCGAAGAAGAGGATGACGTGGGCGAACCGGGCGACGACGTCGGTCCCGGCAGCGACGCCCCGGCAAGGAACGGCAGCCCCATCAAGACACATCGAAGCAAGCAGGCCGTCTCAGCCGCATAACGATATCAACGCTAATGTACATTTTACCTTGCCTTTTGGTTTCTGGTCTCTTTTGGATTTGGGCCGCATTGGCCATATTTTTATGGCCATTTTGTCTCTTATGTTTCTTTTGTTTCTTGTATTCTCTTGGTCACGCCATTTCTTCTTTCGTCTTTTGTTCTTTTCTATACCATGACAAGCTGTTAATGCGTCTTCTTCTAGCCCAAGGTGTTTTGTTTTCTATTATATACAATTAAATTTTTGTCGTTTGGAATATGACCTACATAGCAAATATGAATCACGGGACATGGCTCTGTTTGTTTTATTTATTCAAGTTCTCTCACTCTCTGCCACAAATACCATGGTTTGTAAGCCTTTGCCTTCGTAATCAAAACAACGGCTACATATGAAGTCGTGCTGAAAATTCGTGTCGGGATGGCCCTTCACCACAAATTGTAGACAAAATACATGTGACAAGTCTTGTAAACTGTAAAAATAAACAAACGTCGAAGTTCGTAGTTCCAACAGCACGAAAAGCTCAATGCATTGAATTCGAATCTTAAAATATTTGCATATAAATTTCATCGTGGATATACCCCGTTGCTGTCCCATTCTTCTACTTCCCTTCTTCTCATACCTAGATCATCATTTTCTCACCTCTTGAGCTATCGATCTTTCTACTCTCGCAATTCAACCAAAATGGACGGCGATTTCGCCCGGTGGCTCATTGACTGGGCCATCGACAGTGCCTTCCACGTTAGCATCACCATTGCTGCCGACTGCTTTGTCCGGGGCATCATCCGGTCCAACAACGAAAATAGACGAAGAGTTCGGGCTTTTCTCCTCGAATGGAGTCCGCGCAACACATGTCCCAATGTTGCCATGCAGCACCGCCCCCTTATGGAACGGTTCAACAGCATCCTCTACTCGCCCGAGGTGATGGCCATTTTCCGTTCGGTGTTCATTGAGACGACCGAGGTTCTAATTGAATATTTTGTGGTATTCCTCTACGTCAATGTCATCAAACCCAACCTACCACGGGCACCACGCCGCAGACACGCGCAGCCTCAAGTACGCGGTGTCCCGCCGCGTGTTCCACCGCGTGTTCCAACGCCGCCACCAACGCCTCCACAACCGCCTCTTCCCACACCACCACCATCGCCAAGGAACGAGCCGATCGTTTTGGACGAGCTGGACATCGCCACCACGCAGGCTATTGCAATTCATCTACGTGTCGATGAATTGGTCGACAACAATGTGATTTAGGGTGCAGAGTACGGATATTGATCAGCCTAGGGTTCTTTTGAAAAGGACAGACAGCACGCTGAGGGGGCGGTTCAAGTCTATAGAAAGTTGGAAATTTTAAAATAAGATGACCATTCGATTCTTTTTAAGTTTCAAGTGTCCGGTCGTTTCTTTCATGGCATTCAGCCTTATTGTGAAATTTTGTTTTGGTTGGTGATTAGAGTTCACGATCTAAAGAATGGGCCAATCAGGAGGAGAGGCTTACACGACACCCAAGGGCCTGTCAGAAAGCAGCAACAGACATCGTAATGTTCGTTCCCAACCATACTCTAGCCTTTCAGTCGATTACTAAGGCGAGTCTCATCGCACGGCCCCTGTGCTCCTTTCTATCGTTGCTTCTTTTCTTCATCGTTGCGCCTAGTGTTTGGTATTCGGGCGATCCGATCGTGGTATTGTTCATTCTCGTTTTGTCTCGTAATCTATCCTCTGCGTCTGCTCTGCACACGCCACATGCCTCTCTACTTCCGGCCGAGAGCGTGCCGGATTAGCTTTTCGTAGCCACGGACGGCCGTCTCCAGCGCACCGACCGTGAGTGCCTCCTTGTCGCCGTGGGCGACCAGAATATCACCGGGGCCATAGAGGTAGCGCGTGTGGTCGCCGTCCAGGTTGGGCACGTCGGTACCGTAGTTGACGGTGATGTTGGCGAAGCCCTCGACGGCGCAGTCGCACTCGACGACGCCGTAGCCCTGGGTGCAGCGCAGGGCCAGGTCCTTGTCAGCGCCCTGCAGCGCCGCCTCCATGCGCGCCCGCACCTCGTCATGGCCGGTGGCCTGCGGGCCCAGCGCCACGCGCACGGCCATTTTCGCCGAGGCGGCCGCGGGGATGACATTGGCGGCGACGCCGCCCGACAGCAGGCCCACGTTGACGGTCGTGTTGCCGTAGACGGGGCTGCTGCCCAGGTCGGCGTCCAGCAGCGCCGCCAGGCCGCGGACCAGCGCATCGTTGGCGGACTTGCCCAGCCACGGGTAGCCCGAATGGCCGGCCTTGCCGGCGGCCGTGACGGTGCAGCCCAGGATGCCCTTGTGGCCGCAGGCGAGCTTGTTCTCGGTGGGCTCGCCAAAAATGGCGGCCGCGAACCAGGTAGGGAAGTAGCTCCGGAACAAGGCGGAAAAGGCCTTCATGCCGTCGCCGCTGTCCTCCTCGCCAACGACAAAGAGCAGCAGGACGTCGCCGGCGCCCACGACGCCCGCAGCACGCAGCTGCTCGAGCGCGGTGATCTGCGCCGCGACACTGCCCTTGGCATCGACGCTTCCGCGGCCGTGAATGACGGTCGAGCCGGACGGACTGTCTTTGTCGTCGATGGCGTACGGGATGTGCGGCGGAACGACGTCAATATGCGACGTGACAAGGACGGGTGGGAGGGGATGGACTGCGAGAGCAGCGAGGCCGTCACGGTCGCCCTGGTCGTCGCCGCTGTCAATCCATGCAATCACGTTGAACCGGCCATTCTTGCCCGTGTTGTCGCGCTTGGGCAGCTGCTGCCTGTGTGTCTTATAATGCCGGTCCTCCAGATAAGCGACCAGCCAGTCGCCGACGTTGCCCTCCGCGCCGGTCGTCGAGGACGTCTCAATCAGCCCCTTGTGCAGCGCGAGGAGGTCGTCGCGGTAGGCGGGTGTACCGACGGTCTCGGCATGGGCGGTGCCAAGAGGTTGCTGCTCGGTCCGTTGCACAAGCGCCGATGCACTGATGCCGGCCACGAGGAGGCTGGATAGAAGACGCATTGCGTTGGAAGAGGCAGATGTGGGAGAGAGAGATAGGGGGGAGCGAATTTGCAACGACAAATGAGAGACTAAGGAGAGATGGGGGGCGCGACGTGAAAAGGGAAAGAGCAACGATGATATACGATGTATTTCTGACGTTCCCGGTACTTGCCGTCAGAGGCGATGATTCCGCATAGCTCCAAGAGATGCAGGTCGGCAAGTGCAGCCAATTGGCACCTGCCGTTTCTAGCCCCATGGTAGTGAGCTGAGAAGGCTGGTAGGAGCTTGAGTGGGTCAACAAGGCCCTCGGACGCTGATTGGTCATCTGTACTAGGGAGTTTACTGTGGAAGTATTCTAATTGAACGACACGGAATCAGATCTGTCAGCTATCAAAAACAGTCATCAATTCAACATCAACGTTGTTCCTATCGACAGTTCATCATTCATCTCGTGCTCAGCAGGCGTCCTCTACAGGCGTCACTCTTCCTTCGCCGTCTCGTCGAGCCGCTAAAACTTCTGCCACGGCAGCTTGTCCACCTCTTCAATCGAGTCGTTGATGGCATTCACAGCATCCACGACCGCCTGCGGCAGCGGCCCGGCGTCGATGGCATCCAGTGACTTCTTCAGCTGCTCGACCGTGGCCGCGCCCACAATGACGGCGTCGCCGTGCGCGCCCGACAACTGGCTGTGGTACACGGTCCACCGCAGACTGGCATCGTGCCCGGGGATGCCGTGCTCCTTGGCCACGGCGCGCGCGCGGTCGACGGCGGCGGCGATGGTGGGGCGGTCGTACATCTCCCGGTAGATGTCACCGACGATGCCGGATGACTCCAGGCGACCGCCGGGGCGCTTCTTGTCGCCGAAAATGCCGCCGGCGGCCGGGCTGTAGGCATAAAAGGCGACGTTGTTGGCGCGCAGCACCGGGAACAGCGTGGTCTCGATGCTGCGCGAGATGGCGTTGTAGCAGCCCTGGTAGACGGCGGGCGGCGCATAGCCCTTGTCCTTGCTGATGTCCAGCATCTGCTGCACCTCATCGGGGCGGTAGTTGGAGATGCCCACCTTGCTGAACTTGCCCTGCTTCCGGAACGTGTCCAGGGCGGCGAGGGTGTCGGCAAAGGGCGTGGTGCGCTCGGGCACGTGCAGGAACTCGATGTTGATGGGGTGGCCGCCGAGCGCCTCGATGGATCCGTCGATGCTCTTGGCCAGGCCCTCGGCGTTGTGGTCGCCCGGCGTGAACGAAAAGACCTTGGTGTCGACAACGAAGCGGCCGTCCGTGTTGTGGCGCGCAATGCGCGGCTCTGCGGTCCCAGGGGCGCCGGGCGGGTAGTTGCGAGCGGTGTCGAGGACGCGGTAGCCGCGGTTGTAGAACTCGTCAAAGAAGGGCCCGACCTCCTCGGGCGTGTCGAGGCGCACGTTTGGATCGACAGTCGCGTCGCCGATCTAAGAGAGGTGTTAGTAACGAAAGAGGACGGGAGATGAGAAAGAGAGAGAGAACAGAGTCATATGAGGTTTGGGGATGGGAAAGAGTCAAACAACGTACGCCGGCGGTGCCCAGGACAATCAAGGGCCGGTTGGGGTACTTGTCAGCCATTGTAGAGAAAGGCGTGAAGCGCAACGGTAAGGAGTTGGCAAGTGGCAGCGAGGAAGAGTGAAAGAGAAGAAGGGTGATGAGGCAGAGTCTTCATTCTTTCTTTCCACCATCACGGGCAGACGGCTCTATTTATATTCATGCCTCGACGGTGTGTCTCCACGGTGGCGGTCTTTCGTTTGCCATTGATCATCTTTGAGACCTAGTCTGTCGCTCATAGCTCCGGCGAGACGCGGAAGCTCTCTGAATCTCCTTGTACGGTTGGGGAGTGTGAAGACAGAGGTAAGAATTGAGCAATGCGAGGAAAACAAAGGGTGCCGGTGCCCGAGTCCTCGAAGCATCTAAGCCGTCTAAGCAGTCGAACTATGGGCATCCAGGGCCCCGCCCCTCGTGCAAGAAAGGTAAGAATGCAAAACGGCAAGGACAGGACGATGGAGAGATGGACCGCACTCCGAGGGTTGTCTATCTCCGGAGTAGGGAGAACACAAAACTCATGTCGAAAATGGAAAATGCAGCAGGCATCAAGCGATGCGCCGGCCAGTGTATGTCGATCCGAATCCTTTGCAGTAGGAATGGGATAATGAGAGAGGGAATTAACACGGTCCAATAGAAAGTCACATAAAAGTTTCCAAAAGTTCTGCTCCGTCGTGAAGGCGCCAAAGGTGCCTTACAAATGAAAGCAATCCGTGCAATGAGAATTCCGAGATCACGGCGGAATGAATGGAGCGTCAGTTAAGCAATGGTCGTTCACAGCACCTGCATGCTGCTAACCCGCCTGGGACAAGCGCGGTGGGGAGGACATTAAGGTGCTGAGCGCGAGTCTGCCTGTTCCCGCAACGAGCTGGCGTGGGCCCTGTCAGCCGGCCGAACTGGCCGGATTTGGCCAGCAGTTTACACGCCGAAAGCCGAAGCCGCGGTGCGCAGTGGGTTCTTTTGTCAGGTGCCTCGCCTCTTGACGATGTCGACGACAGACTTGCATCCAGTCTCGACGCATTTCCACCGCCGTCCCTTCGCATCATCTGCGTATGTGTTTGAGATTTTTATTGCAATTGCTTCCAGTTTGTCATCCTCTCACGATGGGCATGCGGTGTCTTGTACGCGCGGGAGAATGAAAATCCGGAATACGGCAACAGACAACAAGAAGGGGCTGTTTTGATAGCGGGAATTTCTCGGATTTCTATTTCCCGGTGACAGTTCGACGGACGGCTGATTGCTCTCCTTCGAAGATGTTTGATGTTTGTAATCGATGCAGGGGGCGAAACTATCATCGAATGGCAGATTTAGGAGACGAAAGATGGGCCTCAAGAAAGGCGAATACTTGCGGCAAGGAGTCAGATGACACGATGGCCGTGTTGATTGTTGGACGATAATGGACGAAGAAGGGGGAAGGAGGACGGAGACGACGCTCAGGCTGATCTTTCACCAAATGGCCAAGAGACGACTCCATGGCGACTCGATTTACCCAGACGAACGGTGGACAGAACTGCGGTCAGACGAACTCCAAAGGGATCGATATTAACAAGCCTTGGCGATGCGGCGTCAAATGATGGAAGTAAAGACGGGTACGAGAAGAAAAGGAGAGCAAGGAGAGATGGGCGAGATGTGAGAAGAGAAAAAGAAAACGTGACAATCGCGAGACAGAAATAAAACGATGATCGATGATCTTCGATGCCCTTCACGCACGAGACATCCGGCATCACGAAAGACTGTCATCAGCATTGTACGATCGTTCCTTGTGACAGTTTTGGCGGTCTCGTCTTTGTCACTTGCAAAATGGCATTTCTACCGCTGGCGCTGTTCTGCCTGGCCTCGGGGTGAGTTCATCAACAGGCCTTTCAAGGCCACAAGCTCGTCCGACATCCAACATCCAACGGCCAACAGCCATCACCAACAGCCATCACCAACAGCCAACCTCACTAACACGTCCAGCTTCACCCTCGTCAACGCGTCTACGCGGCCTCCGTACGAACCAGTGCCGGCCTGCCCGCCCTGCTTCACGTCGACCGTCTGGACACAGGGTGTCTGCGGAAAGCCGCGATGCACGACGCCGACTACAAAGCCGACGCCGACACCGACACCAACTCCCGCTCCAGCGCTCTCCGGCGACTGCACCGTCACCGTCACCGAGGCAGAGCCCCCGACCACCACCATCGTCGCCAACACCAACGTCTGCTCCGTCTTTCCCACCATCACGCAGTCCATTCCCTGCCCGCCGGCGCCGGCTTGTGACGACGACAGCCAGCTCTGCAAGACGGTCTGGATCCCGGCCATGAACACCGGCCCCGACAGCACGACGTACATCTCCAACTGCGTGGCCACCATCACGCCGTGGATCCAGCCGTTGCCGCCCGGCTACACGCCGACGCCACCGCTGCCTCCGTCTTATCCCTGGCCATCGTCTGTGACATCCGGGCCGTCCGTGGCGGTCGTGTAGGAGATCGCATCGCGGGGGGAGTTGAGGAGGACAGGAGGACAGGAGGCAAACAAAATGTATGACGACCGCCGGCTGATTGCGGACACGGCAGAAAAAGGCAAGAAAGCAGATAAAAGCATACGCAGGTGGAATAGAATATTACCGGTTAATTCTGCGGCTTCACAGCTGCCGGCCGACTAGATTAATTGCACGCCCAGATGTGCCCACGTTATGACCGGCAGTTGTGTTCCGAGAACAAGGAGAGATAGCAGGAAAGCGTGTCCATCTGAAATCAAAACCGCGAGTCAGAACAGACGTTGAGGCCTTTGGTGATGAAGATGCCGGTTCCCGGTAACATGTCGAGGGTGGTTTTATCGTCCGTTCCTGGTTTTCCTGTCCCTCTCTTGCCCTTTATTTGCTCACCAGCTCCGGTGTCTGAAGCAATCCTCACGAGCACGATCGTCTTTGCAACGTCTACCATCCATCCTCCCCACGCACCATGCGCGTCGTTTCGGCCCTCGTCGGGCTGGTCACCCTCCCGGCCGCCTCTGCCCAGCAGATGATGCGCTTCTCGTGCTCCCAGCTCGTCGTCGACCGTCTCGATCCGCTCGTCAACCCGGGCGACCTGGCATCGCCGCACATGCACCAGATTGGCGGCGGCAACTCCTTCAACGCGTCCATGGACCCGGCCACCCACGACCCCGTGCGCGACTCTACGTGCACCAGCTGCACCTTTTCCGAGGACTTTTCCAACTACTGGACCGCCAACCTCTACTTCCGCGCCCGCAACGGCACCTTCAAGCGCGTTCCGCAGATGGCCAACCAGGGGCTGCGCGCCGACGGCGGCCTCACCGTCTACTACATCCCGCCCTACGACGGCCACACCAACGTCACCGCCTTCAAGCCGGGCTTCCGCATGCTGGTCGGCGACGCCGCCCTGCGCTCGCCGCGCGGCCAGCAGCGCCAGATCTGCCACCGCTGCTTCTCGACCATCGAGCAGGTCCCCTTTGGCGGCGCCCCCTGCACCGGCGCCGACACCCAGGCCCTGCCGTCGGGCTTCTGCGCGGGCGGCATCCGCACCACCATCACCTTCCCCACCTGCTGGGACGGCGTCCACACCGACGCGCCCGACCACAAGAGCCACGTCGCCTACCCGGCCACCGGCACCTTCGAGTCCACCGGCGACTGCCCGGCCAGCCACCCCGTGCGCCTGCCGCAGCTCATGTACGAAGTCATGTGGGACACCCGCGAGTTCAACGACGCCGCGCTCTGGCCCGCCGACGGCAGCCAGCCCTTTGTCTACAGCACCGGCGACCGCAAGGGCTACTCCCAGCACGGCGACTACGTCTTTGGCTGGAAGGGCGATGCCCTGCAGCGCGCCCTCGACCACCGCTGCGGAAACGACGTCTGCAGTGTTCTGGCGAGCCAGACGAGCGAGCAGGCCATGCAGTGCACGAAGAAGCAGACCGCCGTCGATGCCGTTGATGGCTGGTTGGAGACGCTGCCGGGCAGCGTGCACGTGGCTTAGAAAGACGGCGAAGCCGCCTTTCTATCGCGCTCCTTCGGCGTCGGGCAGGCGGAGGACAATGTACCAAACGTAAGCAAGTTGAATAGTATCAGTAAGCAATAAAGTATCATGCAGTTACTATTGAGAATGGCGTGTGGCAGAAAGTAAGGAGGCGAATAGCGGAGGAGTGATGGGTATGAAGAGTAACAAAGATTGGATGAGGCAGATACGTAAACGGAAACAGCAAGATAGTTAATACAGTGACATGCAAAGCACTGATAGAATGTGTTACTGTATGTTTTGATAATGAAAATAAAATGAAAATTGGAAGTACAATATAAAATACAACAAAGAAAAGAAAAGAAACTGAAACATACAAAATACAAAATACAAAATACAAAATATAGCTGAAAAAATGAATGTATTAAACTTACTTTTTATCCGCCCCCCCCCCCCCCCCCCCCACCAAAAAGGCGCCATACTTTTCTATTTCTATTTCTATTTCTATTTCTATTTCTATTTCTATTTCTATTTTTTTTTTTGTTTATTTATTTATTTTCACCAAGACAACAACGCTACAAAAGCTGCCCAAATTGTGCTTATTATGGCCACTCGCCGAAACAAAGTCCTTGTCAAACGGCTCAAAACTCGTATTTTATTGCAGCAATTAATTTCTACATTTAGTTATGTCATACACGGGTTATTTGTCCCCTTAATTAATATCCGACGGCTGCGCAAAGGCCAGCATGCGGATCGGAGCAAAAGAGGCAAAATGGACAAACATGAATCGATCTCTTGGATTTCTTGGCTTCTTGGCTTCTTGGCCTTTTGATTTCTTGGAATCGCATCAGGACTCGTATTTGCTTTAGTATTGCCATACTTTTTAGACACAAGCAAACCAGCGTGACAGCCGTCCTCACTCGACCCTCACACGATCCTCACACGATCTTCACGCGATCAGTCACGGACCCAGCCGGTATACTGCCATGCCCTTGGCGGCCTGGCCTGTCACGTCGCCCTGTGCCCCATTTACCCCAGATTCCGCATTGCGGAGGTAGATCCCGCAGTTTCCTCCTCCCACTTCTGCGAGTAATGCTCGATTTTGTAACCCTGACCCAAACCGTTTGTCCATGGCTGCCACTTGACTCGTATCCACGGCACAATATCCGCGGTTTGCGAAAGACTCTAGGTCTAGTGGACTGGCGTATGAACGAAAATGACAGTATGGCCGTAAAAGTGCAAAAAAGAAAACAACAAAATATCGCTGAAAGCTTCAGTGTAATTGCTTTCCAAGCACCCAAATGAAAACACACCACCTCTTCGTCACGTTGCCTTACCCACGCTCGTGAATACGAGCCTTGGCCTGCATGATTTGTCCATCGACCACAGCCACCGCTGATAGTCGTTCACTCACGACCGCCCACAGGCAGCTGCACCCACCTCGTATTCTCCTCCCCAATACGATGCCCCACGGTCCCCCAAACTGCTAACATAACACTCACTCACATGCTCGCCACTCCCCGCCTCGTCCAGCGTGGGCGTCTACTGCCGGTGGCGGGCGTGCTGGTTGTGGTGTTGCTGGTTGCGTTTGTGCGCTACCGACGGCCCTGGCCCCAGTCGTCGTGGTCCCGGTCGTGGCCGCAGAAGCCATCCTTTCAGCGGGTGCGCCCGTCCCCGCAGGACGCGATTGATACACAGAGACAGGGACATGGTGTCACTAGCGACTGCCAGTCTGGTGTGGCCCACTTGGACCTGGACAATGGCGTTCCCGATCTGACTGCGGCCTTCCGGTACAGCCGGCGCTGTGTGCGGCCTGTGTTTCGGGCCCAGAAAACGTCGGCCAACCCGACAGCCCGTCGTCCGCCGACGCCCATGCCAGGACGACTCATCCCGGCGCAGGCGGACATGGTGATGGTGAACCGAACGGCGCTTGGCACCACGTGCAGCCGGCCGCTGCCTGCCTGCGAGACGCTTGAGCTCGAGGTGCCTCTGCCGTATCCGACGGCATCCACAGCCAACTACTCGCACTTGCTGTTTGGCGTCGCATCGTCTTCGGAGCGCATGATGAAGGCCCTGGACGGGTTCACACACTGGCTCGGCGGGACGGGGGCGCAGCTGGTGGCGATTGTGCAAGACGCGGACGGGGGCGGCGCGGAGCAGGAGAAGGAGGAAGAGGACTGGCTGGACGAGGTGGGCACGCAAGCCAAGCCTGGGATCGGCAAGACCGCCACGCAGTTGGCCGGGCTGGCCGCGCTGGAGACGGCCTACCGCGCCCGCGGGATCCGTCTGCGCGCCCTGCCGCCGCAGCACCGCCTCGCGCGCACCGTCGTGCAGAACCATTTTGCGGTGCTCCTGTCCTTGCTGGAGGCGGCCACGCCAGACACACGGTGGCTCAGCATTGTCGACGACGACACCTTCTTTCCGTCGCTGTACAAGCTCGACCAAGCGCTCCGCAGGTACGACCACACCCGGTCGACGTGGCTCGGTGCGCTGTCCGAGGACGCCGACGCCTTGGCCCTTTGGGGCCGTATGGCGTACGGCGGCGCCGGTGCGTTTATCAGTGTGCCGCTGGCCGAGACGGTTATGCCCTACATTGGCGAGTGTCTGCGGCAGGGCCGGCGAGCCGCCTTGGCTGCCCTCGAAGAGGAGGGCAGCAAGCCAACGGCAGCGACAGCGAGAGGACGGTACAGCACGACGACGGGCGACGGTCTTTTGCGGGACTGCATGGCCCGCCACGCACCGGCGACGCCGCTCACGCTCGTGCCCGGCCTGAACCAGCACGACCTGTACGGCGACGCTGCTGGCTTTTACGAGGCCGGCCTGGCGCCTCTGTCGGTGCACCACTGGCGCAGCTGGTACAAGGCGCCGCTGCCGGCCATGGCGGCGGTCATGCGCGTGTGCGGCGACTGCTTTCTGAAACGGTGGACGTGGACGGGGGCCGGCTCCGACCGTGGAGGCGAAGACGACGCCGGCGATACGCTCTTTGTCAACGGCTACTCAGTGACAATGTACCGGGCCGGCGTGCACCCCGACTTTCGGCGCATGGAAGAGACGTGGTCGCATGCCGGCGACGAATTTGTTGCTGGCCTGGGCCCGCTGCGGCCGGCCCTGGACGACGCGGACAAGAAGAGCTACCGGCTGCGGGAGGTTGTTGCTGGCGAACACGGCGCCAACAGCGACAGCGACAGCGGCAGCGGCGTCGCCAGTTTCCGCCAGGTTTACGTCTACAAGGGCGCCTTTGGCAACGACGAGCTGGACGAGGTGTTTGAGCTTGTGTGGGACGAAGGGGAAGGAGCGACGTGGAAGTAGGACACGTGACATCGAATGGCTGTCGCGCGTCTGTCAACAACAGACAAAAAGGGGGACGCGATGCCCATCGCGATCGAGCAGGCGATCTGCATGAGGAACGACAGTGGACCCACTTTTATATAGAGTGCCGGAAATAAATGAAAAATGGAAGAGAGGAACCAATAACATGTGGGCTCTGGGCACTGGAACTGGATTGCGGGACTGGGGGGAAACGCGCAATCTATGAAAATTACCCACGTTTTATGCTGTGCGGAAATGTCAATAACCGGAATGAAGGCCGCCAGGCGTGGACAGGACAGAAGGACAGGAAGGACAAGAGGGCAGAAGAGATGGAAAGCAAACAAGGAAAAGTTAATATGAATGATGGAACAGAACGCAGTGTGGTCCCGGCGCAAAACGACCTTGAAGGGTAAAAATGGAAACAAAAAAAAAACAAAGATGACAGCTGGGCGCAGCAAAATGTGGGCTCCTTCATTACGGCGACATCCGTTGAGCATCCGGAACTGCACAGTTGCGATGTAGGGGTTTTACTCGCTATTTAAAGAACGACGGTGTTAAAAGGGCTGCAGAACAGAGGAATGCGAAGGTGAAGTCAGAGAGGACGAAAGAGACGAATGCCGAGATGTACGCCGACATTGTTCAGCTCATGCAGCCAGTTGGTGAAGCCAGCTGAACGACGGACGACGGACGGAAACAGACGGGCCTGCAAAATGAGTCGAGAAGACAGCGAGACCGAGGCTTGATGGTTGTCGGCTTTCTATCGTCGTAAGATAAGTAAATACATATCGTGGCAAAATGAGGTGTTGAGAACCGGGACTGCCCCCTGCCGGACTCTGAAATGCCCCTGGCCCCTGCCCGCAGGCGCCACCGGTGCCATCCGCAGCGCCTTCAGCGGATTGCGCAGAAGCCACAGCGTGCAAACCCCTCCGTAATTACGATTGAGTGGGAGAAGACAAAAGGAGAGGACAAAAGACAGGTACGAACAAGCAACAGCCCAAAAAGCTTAAGCCCACTTTGGTCCTCTGCGCACACGACAGTCTCGACGTCGGGTACGAAGGATTGCCCTGTTTCTCAAGATGGCGTGTTATTTTTTTGAAGAGCTTTTTAATTGCGGAGTAATACTATCCAATGTCGAGTGGGTGTGCGTGTGGGCGGTGACAGAGACTGCGTGGTTCTTACAGGGCTCCCAGGCTTTCAGTGCCCGCTATTTACTGAGGTCAGTTAAGTTCAGGTCATGGATCAGCTGCCAAGGACAAAAGGCCTCCCAAGCTGGGCCAGGCCTGGCCTTTCAGGATCCTCTCTGGACAATAGTCGGAGCCAGTTCCTGGTTGACAGCTCATCGACAGCGGTCAACCTGGGGCAGAAAACTTGTTCTGCCCAGATACTGCTCTGGGTTCCGCACCGTTTTCATTTGGATGGTCGTAGCGCTGCGACGCTGTTCAGGTAAGGCATCCAAGTCTTTCCAGATCTGTATTTCGTACGAAATACTTTGTGGACCTCATCTATTTTCCCTTTCGTACCTTGTTTCTTTCCTTTTTCTTCTTACATTGTATTTTTTCATTATTTTTTAGTACATTTTTAACCGTTGTTCTTCCCCCTTTCCTGCTTTTGCGCTCCCGCTTTCGATTCTGTCCTCTCTCCTCCCATCGCCAAGCCAGGGAGGCAAAAGAAGAGGCCTCGCCATGTCCAGCTCTTTGCAGCTTCTCATTGGCTGCACAAACGGCCTACCCTCCACACCCCCTGATTCTTGTTGCTGATCGAAAGACCATCTCTCCACCTTCCACGCTTAGTCTCGTCTCTATTTTCGGGGTTGGTACTGTCTACGACGTACAATTCCCTCCTTTCGCCGAAAGAGGCAGTCTGGCACCGATGACAAAGTACTGTTTTCTTTTGCCATTTGTTTCTCTATTTTGTTTCTCTATTCTGTATGTGCGTCGTACTTTGGGCGTGACAGTGGTCTTTCATTCTTCGTTCCTTAGTTCCCATCTCTGCCTGTTCCTGTCATTGTCCCACAGTCTCGTCCCACTCTGCGGGCATAATCTTTTCCCTTTCTTTTTCTTTCTTCTTTCTTCTTTCTGTCAGTTCATTTCTTGTCCCTGCAATTTCAGCAACAACCCTTGGTCGAGAGCGGGCAATAATGAAAATAATAACACAGCAACAACAAGCATCCCAAACACCGCATCGCCAAAGAAGAACGCAAACGGAGTCGCGCGTCCTTCATTTCCGTTAGCCTTTGCCAACCTAGTAAATCAACAGACTGTTCTCCGTAGCTATGCTAGAACATTTGTTGCATCGTAGTCCTTGATTATCATATGCAAACAGGCCCACGGTACCTGAAACTGGGCTAGGCTGTGTCCTTAATTTGAGGTATCAAAAAGATAACGACAGGCGTCATCCGCATCTGTTTGCGCCATTCGGGCTGCCGCTTCGCTCACAGGCTTATGTCGTGCAGTGCTTCTTGTGCTCTTACCTGCAAGCTCCGTCCTGTAGCCACAAATCGGGTTAGTGACAGTGCTGCTCCTGCCCATTTGGCGCCCGCCATACAGTACACTAGCACAAACCACCCCCTTTTTATTTTATTTTCTTTCCACAGCAGGAACTCACCAATTGCTGGCGGACCCGCCAATTTGACTTGCGCCCTCCAGCATCTCAGGCCCGATTTCACGAACAGGGGTATGAAGAAGAGAATCAAACTTAGACAGAAGGGAAAGAAAGAAAGAAAACATTCGGACTCACTCGCTAGCCCGCCACTGGTTCCTTCCCACCCCTGACCTCATACACTCGCTCTTCCCGGTAACAATTCCTTCCCACCTCCCCCATCACCACGGTCGCTCTTCCCTGTTTTGTCTCTCTGTGCCTAGTTGTCGGCTTGTTCCTTCTTTCTTTTTGTTCTTTTGTTCTTTCTTCGTCAGCGACTTCCTAACCTTACTAACCCGACATTCGTTTGCCCAGTCTCTCGCTTTATTTTGGCCTTTCAGCCCCCTCCCCCCCCTTCTCCCTTGTCTCGTTTTTTCTTTGTTTTCGTCAACATCACCTTTCGCTTTGTATCATCATCACCCCGTGCACGCCTGCCTCTCGAACGTGAGCACCGCCAGCCTCCTCCGCCAGCCATCCAACACAGACCACCAACCCCGGTCCGTTTCAGACGCCCTGCTTTGGGATTAGACGCCCTCACGCCTTCCTCGTCTTCTCACTCGTTTCTTTCCCACAGCCTCCTTTACTTGTCTCGCCCGTTTGGACCACTGTCCTTCGTTCTCGGTCCGGCCGTGTCCATCGCTTCTTGTCCCTTCTGTCTTGCGTCTCTCCATCTCGCGTCTCCGAGACATACTCCCTGGCTCTCTTCTTCGAAGATCACCCGTCCCTCGTTTTCACCCATTCTTTGTCGCCCTTAACGGTCTCCATTCTTCATTTCAGACAAGAAATACAGAATACCGGACAGTGCTCTCAAGCTTTGACAATACCGTTATTTCCGTCTTGTCGCGTCCGTGTTACATGCCGCCGATTTGCCTCGACTGGCCTCGAAATCTGCCCTTCTAAAACACTCCGCCCGTTTTTTGTTTTTGGATCGACAAACTTTATTTCTTTTCCGCGCTCTTGGTCTCCTCGGTCGCCTTGGTCGTTTTGGTCGTCTTGCTCTCCCTCCCTTCTCTGCGTCCCCTTCTCTGCGTCCCTTGTCTGGCCCAGTTCAGACCCTTTCCGTCCTGAGCCCGCCCTGGTTTGCTTTATTTTTGTCGTTTCTGGCCCTCGTCCGACCCGGATCATCCAAGCATCTTGAGACACTTGGCACTTACGCATCAGGGGTCGCGCTCAGAACACAGACGCACGAAACCCAGGAAACGCATCCGCGGAAAGAGAGGCAGTGTGCGGAGAAGTACGGTGTGTCTCTTCGCCATTCACCTTACCGACCACATTCTGTGTTGCCCAGACACCGCGAGTGTGCTACCAGCCTTACCACCCTACTCGACGCGGACAGCTCTTTTCCACCAACCATCGCGCCTCTTGGCCCGCCACTCTTGATTTCACCGCCTCGTCTCTTTACTTCATACGTTGTACATCATCAATACATCCATCTCCCATCCGAACCGCTGGCCGGCATAATGCAATCAAGATGATGGTCTTCGAGCACGCAATCGTCGACTCCGTCGTCCCCAGTCCTGGGTCGCCGCCGGGCATGACTGCTTCCAAATCCTCCAAATCCTCCTCCTTCCACTCCATCAGCTCCGACGACAATAGCGTCCTGTCCGACGTCAACCACTTTGAGGACATTGGCCTCGACGACGACGCGTCCTCAATCGCCGCACACCACGACCGTGACGCTGCCGACTTCAAGGCCCGCCCCCATCGTTTCTCGCCCTCTTTCTCGGCGGACCTCCGCGCCGCCTCGCTCCAGTCCGCCTCCACCCACAACCTCACAACCAAACCGCGCGTCTCCTCATCTTCACGCGAGCTTCCTCGCACACGCCCACATGCCGCCAACCGTGACATCACCCCAACCGTCCGGCCCTCTTTTCCTAGCTTGCAGAGCCAAGTCCGCGGCGCCAATGTCCGTAGCACGAGCACGAGCGCACTGACACCGGAAGCCCTGCTTCCCAAGTCCAAGAGAAGCCACGGCAACCGGTCGGCCACGTCCCTCTCCTTCCGCCACCGCAGCCCCAGCCCGAACCTGGTCAACGTCCCGCATGGCCTGAAAGATCCGGCCGTCATCGTCAAGCCGCGTCGCAGCAGTTGGCAGTCCACACACGAGCGGAAGACGTCGGTCCAGTTGGAGATGGAGTGCGACGAAGACGAAGGTGACGATATCCCAGAGGGTCTCATCCTAGACAATGTCCCTATCTCACCACGCCCGCCGTCTGAGCGTTCTCAATCCGTCAACCCCAGCCCCGCCAGCTCCAAGCCCGGCTCGCCCGACCGCGCGGTCAAGGAGCACAGACACCGCAGTGTCGGAAACGGCACACCAGCCACTGCTTCCGCCCAGGGCTCGCTGCGCTCCCCCCAATGGA